GGCAACAGCTGCCTTTCCATGGTCTTCACCATGAGCTGCTGAGGAATCTCTGCTCCAGTTCCTGGAACATCTCCAACCCCTTCTTCTCCACTGACCTTGCTGTCTGCAGAGTTGTTTCTCTCATGTGCTCTCACTCCTCTCTCCAGCTGCTCTTCTGCAGGTTCTGCCCCCATGACTTCTTAAATATGTTATCCCAGGGGTGCTACCACTGTTGCTGAGGAGCTCAGCCTTGGCCAGTGGTGAGTCTGACTTGGAGCCGGTTGGCACGGGCTCCATTAGACATGGGGGAAGCTTCCAGCAGCTTCTCACAGAAGCCAACCCGGTACCCTGCAGCCTGCTACAAAACCTCACCATGCAAATTCAGTGTATTATTATATCCAATGTCTGGACTAATATGGAATAGGGAATTACTGTAATATGTCTGCAGTCCAGGAAGAGGCTGCATTTATTCACTTTTACTGTAATTCCGAACAGTAATAAAATCATGTCCTGAAAATATCACATCAGAGTCACTGCTTTAGTTATTTATTAAGCATATCAGATTTTGACCCAACCCATTAATAAAAGTGCATAAAAGCACAAAGAGATCCTGATATACCCATATAACACACTGATCCCTCTTACCTAAAATAGACTCTTTATTAAAAACTTCTCTACAGTCCGATTCACGAAAAGCCCTCTGTTGCACCAAGTTTTTCATTTACAAACTGATGCTTATTCACCTATGTTAAGCACTTAACTTCACACATACACGGCAAAGGAAGGAGCGGATGACGGCAGAGCGGTCCAAGCCAGCACCAGCCTCTGTTGTCATGGCAACTGGTGCCCGCACAGCCCGGCCCTCGGCTGCCGCTGCTCCCGGTCCTCTGCTGCAAAGGATGGGAAACCGATTTTCCAAAACTTCTCTACGAAAGGTTACCTCCCAAACACCCTATTCTGTGTACTGAGCCTTGACCACAGCCTGGCTACAAATATGGGCCTGATCCATAAAACTTCCCAGAGTTGTCAGCGATCAGAAAACAGTGGAGCAGCAGCATGAGCCAGTCATGTAGCCCCAGAGAACAGAGCAAGAATTATTCATAAACACACAAGAATATTAAGGGCAATTATACAAGATAAACTGTTAGCCAGACAGATTGCTAGACAGTGATAAAATTTTTCCTGTATTCCTCTGGTTTTCTCTATTTATTATACAAAGGACTCAATTCTTCTCCCATAGGTATTTTGCAAATATCTTCACCAGACAGATTTCATTCCTCACAGTCCACTGACTGCAGTTATGTTTGCTGATGCCATGAGCAAGTTTTTCTCCTGAGTGCCTGAAGTGAGTCTCTGTGAAATGTGGATAATGTTTTTCTTTAATATGCTTCAGGAAAAAAAAAGACTTTTCTATAGAAACCGTGAAAAGTAGAAAGAATAAAAAACATATTCTTTTAGCTGATTCTGTGAGTCACATAATGATAAAAATTCAACAAATGTTTTACTAGTTGAGAAACTGAATGAGCCCTGAGCTTTATGCGGCTTTTCAGTTCTGATACAAGAGAACTATTTTTCACTTGGTTGCTACATCATTTAAAAATTAATTGCTTTTATTTGCATTTCAGTAATAATCCCCAGCCAAGACTGCGGTCTTACTGTACTGGTTGCTGGGGGAAAACAGTAAGGAGAGATCCTGTCCTAAGGCTTTTGCAGCCCATGAAATAAATCCTGATTGTAAGGTCTCTCTGACCACAAAGCAATATTGCTTTATCCACTCTGAGCACTTTCAAGTATAATAAAGAAAAAATAATTGAATACAGTAGCTAACTTAGCCAGTGAAAATGGAGAGAAATAGAAATATGATGACTTAAACCCTTCTTTAAAAAAAAAAAAAAAGATTGTTCGTAGTTGATTTTGAGTGGGTTTATAAAGCACTTTTATAGTACTAGTTTCTGGAAAAAAATTGTGCATCCTAAATTACTAGGCTACACATATGCACATATATGTAAATATATATATATCAGCGAGTTATCCCAATGTAACACAGCAGGCTGTGCAAACGTGTTCCAAAATACTTGAAAGTTTTTGTGTGTTTTTTGTTAAACCGCTCATTTCCCTGTGGTTTGCTTGTAACCCATGGTGACCGACCTGGGGACTCGCCTGTACCCGCAGATTCTTACTTCTCCAGAAAGTCATTACTTGTGCTAACACTTCCACTTATCTGAATCAGACCCTCTAAAGAGAAGGCAATTTGTGCTAAGAGTTGCAAGGATCAAGGAACGGTTACCAAGCAGAAATGCAGTCTATTATTTTTCCCAGCTATAGCCTACGCAATAGCTGAATCCTGTGAAAAGTTCTCTGCTCTCATAGCAGTGGATGTTCTTACAAGAAATGGCTCTATTGTAGGGGCTCATTGTCACTCTTTCCTTTTTCCCCCCTACGGAAGCCACTTGCCCTATGAACAGCATGTACACTTATCTTCTACAAGATATCTTTCAATTTTGCCACCTGCAGTGCTTCATGAAGTTATTTAGTACTTTTCTATCCCTCTTCATCTTTATCATTTTATCCTGTTCACCATTACTGAAATCTCACAAGCGTTCTGCAACAAGTTGCAACCATCTCTATTCGAAGCTGTTAGTGACTTCTAGTGATCTAAGTTACTTCTTGTGAACCTAAGACTGTTTATCTTACTTCAGCTATATTATAACAACTAACATTGTCTTAAAAAATGTTCCTGTAAAAAATAGAGATTACAATAAACTTTATTAAAATGGATGTAAAAAATCAAATAGGGAATTTAACAAATATTCTGAGAAAGCATACACTAATCCTGCATACACTACGTTCTTTCCTCCCTGAGTGATTTACTCCTCTTTACATTTTGATGTCCAGTGTCTGTTGTCTTTTCCATTTAAAAGAAATATGTTGACAATCACAGCCACCTCTTACTGCTTTTGTCTTTTTCCCAAAATACTTCCTTCATTTTAGCTTTACTTCTCTCTCTTCACAGGATTTCACCAAATTATTCGAAGTGAAAAATGACAACAACTTCGTCCTCTTTTCCCCATCCTCCTTTGGCTGGTGCCCCCTTCCCTGGTTGCTTCCGTTTCTGTGTCCCAGTTACAGGGTCTTCCTACCTTGAGTTACATCAATGTCATGTCCCATCTCCCCATCACCCCCATCCTGCTCATGTTCCCTCCCTTACTCTTTCCTTTTGTCTCTCAAACTTAGGTGGTTTTCAGTTCTCACAACAAAGGCATGTTTTCAAGTCTTAAACTCATACTTGACCTCCTCATTTGCCCCTCCAATTTCTCCTTCCTCTCCCTTTTCATCTGTGAATTCACGTAACGTGCTGTTTCTATTTCGCTAGAGTACCTCTACTTATTCCTTTTCCTTTCGTATTTCAAACCTTACTCTACTACAGCTCTCCATGAAGTACTTTATGACTTTCAAGGCACTAATTGGGAGCAGTGTGTGTTCCTCAGGTTCCTTAAGTTCTGTGTTGAAGAGCAAATCTTGCCCTTACTTAAGTCCTTCCTTTGCTCCTACTAGTCTGTCCTCTCCTCATTCCCTTCCCTCTAATCTCTTCTTTCTTGTAAAGTGTCTCTTACCTAATCAGTCTCTATTGGACTTGAGTGCTGTCCTCCTATCCTTATTGCTGGTATTCTCATCTCTAAATACAAATTCAATTCTTGCATGTTTCTAGGAAGAATATTTACTGGTCTACCTCTTTATTAACTCCTATTCAATATCAAGTCTTGAACTATCTGGCTTCTGTTGATGATGTTTAGGCACCAATTCAAAGTAAACATGGCTAAGATAATGCTAACTGTGAATACAGAGGTAACACTCCCTCTGTTTAGCCTTCACTGCTGGAGACAAGACTGACATCTGTCATTTGAACTTACTGGCCAGCACTGCCTTGCATATCTTTAAATTCCTCATATAATCTTCTTTAATACGGCATTTCTTAGACTCATTCACCTTCAAATTCTCATAATTTCACATGTGATTACTACAAAGCCTTTCTTTGGCCTTCAGGAGTAAAACAGACCATTTGTGACTTCTCCCTCCCTCTCGTATTCTGGTCAGCAGAGTCGTGACTTCCCTATTCCAGCTGGTCTGTGACGCCCACCTGCACTTCGATAATTTCTTTTTGGTGCTTTGTTGCTTGCTAAAAATGTCTGTAAAGCTACTTCTTTTTCTCTGAAGCTGCCTATAGGCATCTACTACTTTATATGGAAATTATAATCTATCTGGGGCAGTGACCATTTTCATGCTGTGTACAATATGCAGCATGAGGAATTTCTGGACCTAGGCTGAGATTTCTAGACGTTGCTGCAATACATAATAATTCTTAAAACATTTAAAACTCTACATTAGATCAGAGCTCTTCATTCCCTTTCCCGTACCTGTCCCTACTGTAATAACTCAGGTGCACAGCTAAGGATGTAGCATACTGACAAGAACTGGGAAATTCAAACTTGCAGGTCAGCTTCTGTGCAGCCCATTCCTCTGGCCGGTTTTCTGCACATCGGAAGGTATCAGAGGTAGCGTGGAAGAAGGCTGAGCACCATTACCTCTTCCTTAATTCAAACCTATTTCCCAAATCACTTGTTTTGCAGAAGGAAAAGCCATGTGTTCCACGGCAAGACCCTCCAAGACCAAGTTCTCTTCCCTTCCAGTGACGTTGTCCCACAGTTGCCGGGGTTCAATGCTTTCGTTCGTAGCCGAGCACCGCCGTGAGCGGGTCTCCAGCCCCCGAGCAGCTCTGTTGGCGCAGAGCCCGCTCCGCAGGGCAGGCGCTCCGAGCGCTCCGCGGCTTTAGCGCGGACTTGGGCGCCTGCATTTCTCGGCGGGGGCGGAATACGATCCCCTCGCAGCAGATGAAGGGGATGCACACACACGGCTCCGTGCACGCACCCCTGTGTGTGCGGTGTCTGTACGATGCGGTGTCTGTACGATGCGTGTCCCGGCCGCTCCCCGTCCCGCGGTCCCCCCGCACCGCCCGCACTCACCGGGGCGCGGCCCGCTCGGCTCCCGCCCGGGCTCGGCGCCGCCGCCCTCCTGCTGCGGGCTCTCGGAGTCCGTGTTGGTCAGCCAGGTGGACTCGGTCTCCCGCGTCCAGCTCTCATAGTACCGGGGCTCGATGGCGTCGGCCCGGCTGCCCCCGCAGCCCATGGTGAGGCCCCGCTCACGGGCTCAGTCGCAGCCGCCGCCCGGGCACCATCGCCCCGCCGGGCACCGCCGGCCCCGCTCACACCCCCCGCCCCATCCCTGCTCGTCAGGCTCTCCCCGGCTCCGCTCGCCTTTCTACCCCTTCTCTCCGGCTTTATTATCTCCGCTGTCCCCCCTCCCTCCTGGCTGTCCCCTCCCCTTCTCCTCCCGTTACCCCGTTCTTTCCCCTCCCGCTTCTCTCCGCTCTCACATCTCACCGCCTCCCGCCCCGGCCCCGATGTCTCCCCATCCCCGGGTGTGCCCTAGGAGCGGGGATTGCTGCATCTACCGCAGCGCTGGCTCTGCCCCGCCAGGTTCCTCCGGCTGCCCGCGGCCGGGGGCAGACACGCCGCGGGCTGGCAGCGCTCCCTCCTCCCCGGGTTATGGATCTGTACGGGCAGGATTTACTCGCACATGCCAGCGTGCCATAGCTAGCAAGGCACAGCAGCCCTCCCGGCCTGCGCTTAGCAGCAAGCGCATGTACCCTGACCGGGTCTTGTGCTCGTTTCCCTAAACCATCTGCCCTTCCCTGATTTAGCCGGGAGAGCCTTGCGCCCACCTTTGGCGTCAGTTGGTTTGCTGCTGTGTAAAGGTGCGATACTGAGTGCTCAACTCGAGAAACACTTCCGTTCTTTACTCTTGGATACTCTTTTGGGAGGCAACAGAGAATATGAGATAATACTATAATTTAGGTTTATGCTCAGGGTGATCTAAAACAGACACAGAGATTTTTGAGTCACTGATGGTGGCTGCAGTTAGTATTGCAACAGCTGCTTGTCAAGGTCCCTGTCAGGGCTGGAGCCGGCTCCATGAACTCGAGGCACTGTGGGATCTTGTTGTGAGAAGGAGACTTTAGCCCAGATGGATGTGTCTCTCCTGGAATCATACTGCAGTAGAGCAGTAGGAATGACTGTCCCCTAAGACAAACTACAGAGCAATATAGAGGTTACGTTGTGCACTTCATACTGTTACACAGTGTGGCACTTGGCTAAAAAAGATATATCCATTGAAATCTGGAGAAACTCAGGCTGTCCTGTGTTATTGGAGCTGAAAGTAGGAACACAAAGCTCTCTGGAGCTAAAAGATCTCGTTTCTAAAGGTTGGTACAAGATTTTTAAGAGGATCCCATAGGCCTTAGCTCTGCATCCCAGCTGCTCTCTCCTGTGTTCTGGTTCTGAAGTGATACAGGTTGAAAACTGCTGTCTGAGTAGCTGAATCCCCTATTATGCTTCCCGAAGCAGATGACTGTTGAGGTGTTTCTAAACAGCTTCACAGGCAAACACTGACTCACAATAACCTCACTTTCCAGCTGAGATGTGATGAGATCCCTCACCCATGGGGGTGCTGCTGACAGTTATTGCCCCCGTACTTGTGCTGCCAAGGTCCCAGGATCAGAGGGGCAGTGGTCTGTGAGGGAGCAGCTACTTTTACATCACTGTGGTAATGTTTTTGTGACTAAAAAGACGTTATTTTTATAAAAAGAGGGTTTCAACAGAGATTATATTTCAATCAGACTTCTCCACCACCAGATAGTCCCCAGAGCAATGGAAAATAGTGGTGTTTGAAGCCAATGAAGAGGTCTAACACACATCCCGCTTCCCAGGAGTTGTGTGTGCCCTGGGTGGGCATAGGGCATGGACCAGAAAAAACTGCCAGACATGCCTGAGTCTCCAAATAAGACCTCAGCAACACAGATAGTGTCTCACGCTGTAATTATGTGAAACAGCTTTCTAGGCTGAGAGCACTAGACAAAGTACATGCTGGAACAGAACCTTGGGGGAGCCTTTTTATTTTGTTTCATTTGGACTTAAAATTTGGAGGGGCTCTGACAGGGTCTGCTGGCATGTGTATTTTTACATCAGTTTGATTTCAGTTCTAGATGTGCTTCATCTTCTGACCCTTATTTTTCCTAGCACAGTTTTCAAACCCCTGGAAAGCCACTGGCAAGAGAACATAAGGCTTCTCTTTCTTTCCTATTATTACCACCACCACTAGAGAGGAATTAGACCATAAATTTAAGGTGGGGTCTTAAAGCACTATATTGAACCATGTTCATTTTCCTTGAGCCTACAGAGGTGTCTGCTTTGCACTAGTGCTTCGCATCACCTTTCAAATTTCTGCTTTTGGTGGAACATGGAGAAAATCACTGCAGAAAAACAATAATGTAACTTTTACTACTTTTGTGTTTAAGCTGCTGGTGTAATTGTGATTTTGAGTTTAAAAAATACTCTGAAATAAAATTTTTTGTATGACTAATACAAATAAAAGGTGTTTGTTAGCTCTGTAAGTAAGCGGCTTAACTTTATTTTCATCAGTTCCTATTGGAACTGAGAACTACATTTTGAAACTGAAAACTTTTTTCCACAGCTAGAAGAACTTTTATAGAATCATAGAGTGCTTTGGTTTGGAAGGGACCTTAAAGATCATTTAGTCCCAACACCCCTGCCATGGGCAGGGACACCTTCCACTAGACCAGATTGCTCAAAGAGGCATCCAACCTGGCCTTGAACACTTCCAGGGAGAGGGCATCCATAACTTCTCCGGACAACCTGTTCCAGCATCTGACTACCCTCACAGTTAGGAATTTCTTCCTAATACCTAATCTAAACCTAATCTAAATCTACCCTAAAAATACCCTACCTTAGTCTTCAGTTTGAGACAACTCATGCTTTATTCTTTGTTGTGTTAAAAATTAATTTATAAGAATAGGAGAAAAAAAGAGAGGTTTTCATTGTTTTGTTAAAAGAGCCAAATGCAATCAACTGTGGGTACCTTTTTATCAGAATTAATTCGATTAATTAAGAAAATTACTTCTCACTGCCGAGTGTGCAGGGCACAATGTTCATGGATCTGCATCCTTCTGATTCCCTTGTGAGCCGAAGAGCAAGCTCTGAGACACACAGCCATTGTGTGAGAGGGCATGTGCTGTAGCTATAAAGTACCACAGCCTGTGGCAGGGAAATGCATGCTGGCTGGCATGAAGTGGGTGATGACAGCTTTAACACAGCAACGTAAAAACACACAAGAATATGAATTCAATAATATTAATTTTGCACTGAGAATCATCTTGGGGAAGAAAGCGGACAGAAAAGGAAATCTGCCTTCAGAAGTACAGAAAATACCCAGGATCAGATGAATCCTTGGCCTGACTCCATCTCCTCCACTAGTGTAATCAGATGGGAGCTAATCTGCTGGTGAAGCTGGGTGGAGAGCAGTCGGTGTAGGGCAGGAAGAGGTTGATGGCATTGTATAAGTGAAGAATTGAAATCTGCAGAACTCTTGAGGGAAGAAACTTTACAATTTCTTTTTCTTCCTTTACTTCAGCACCTGAGGAGGTGTAGCCTGGCAGGAGAGGGATTAAGAACTCAATTTTTTGGATCAAATTTAACTTGTCATGCTGTTAGCCTCATGCCAGGTGATGACTAAGGCAGTAAAATCTGACCTCTCTCCATTAATTGTTAGAAAAAGGGTGGTCTCCCAGAGATCCTATTAGTGGAGCTTGGACTGCCTTTTAGCTTGCTCTGGTTTTGTGCTGTCTGATGCACACTGTGCAGTGATGCTTTTCCTCCTCCCGCTGTCGGTGATGTCTGCTCTGTGTACCCTGGTTTCAAGATATGCTACCTCAAAAATGGGAGTAGGAAGCAAAGGGATGGGATGGGAAAGGGATCTCAGGGATTTTACATTTACAGTTTCTCTAAAATGGGGTTAAAATAATGAAAATCTACTTTTCCTCATAAAATCCATATGGAATTGTGGTAGGACCCATTATTATTTTTCCCCTAAGATTACAATTCTTCTGTATCCCAATGATCACTTCAGTGTTAAGTGCAGGAGAAGCAACAGCAAATGTCCTGTTTCTCTTCAGTCTTTTGTCTGGCATCTCTTCTTGTTCTATTAGATGGTGTTTTAGCAAATCTGGTTTTAGGTCCCAGCTTTTCTTGCAAACCTGTTTTCTTCACTCCAGAAAGCAGACAGGAGGTCAGTTTACTCGCTTACCCAGGATCCCTGTGGTTCAAGGACATCATTAGAGAGAAGAATTTGTGTTTAAAATGTGTTCTTTCTAGTAAGATATTTTCTGTATCTGAGGACAAATGTAATTATTTAGCTCTGTTATACCCATTTGACATCATCGCTTCAAGCTTGCAATATGCCTGGAAGCAAGATTGCCTCTGAAGCTTTCACACTGTACACTTAAGTCAGCTCTCCTCCTGCCAGCAGATATTTACTTCAAGTAAATGATTGAGCACTCCTCTTTGCTGTTATGAGCACTTGGAAAATATAATTTTCTTGCCTTGATTGCTCAAATATTTCTCTTTAACAGTTTTCAAATGTATACCACATAATTTTCACATTGCTCTGCATTATTTATGCATTTCTTTCAACAAGGAAATGATAGCATTCATTCCTGGCCATTCAAAAGGTTTTCAGTTTAGTACTCCCAGCTTCCCGGACATATGTAGGTGATACTCAGTTACAGCTGAAGGTTTGGTAAAATGTCTCCAAACAGCTCATAAATAGGAAGAATTTAATTAACTCACTTCCACTGCCTCTTTTTCATGTTTGAAAGTGACTCTGAAACATAGCCTCAAATTCCAACCTAGAGACCAAGCCCTTGAATTCCTCCATCTCAGCCTGCTAATTTAGTTACCAATTGGATTAAAAACCCTAGAGGAATAGTTTACCAGATTCTTAATTGTGAATAACAATACTCTGGCAGCACAGAAGTTTCCTGTGATGATGTACTATCAAGAAAACTTCAGTCAATTCTTTCCAGTTTTCTCAGCCTTTGAACCACAGCTTGACCTTAATGCTGACCTGACCTTGTCAGGGTCCAACCTCCTTCCCTTGTGAATAGTGAACATTTTCTAGTGAAGATACTGTACGTTTTGCATAAGTGGGAGGTTTAGAATCAGTACAATCATATTCACTTTCCCAGCAAGTAGTGGAAAACTATTACATAGCAGGCATCAGTGTCCTCACTGCATGGGATCTTACTGATACTGTATGACT